GTTGTTTTTGTAATATATTATATATATTTATATATATATATTTATTTTTGTCTTTTACACCACTGATCCATTGAAACTTTGATCCACACATAGACAGAATCACAGCAAAGGGAAAGGCCTCTGACCCCCCGTGAGAAGGGTTGTGGGGGGGTGGGGAGCACTTTCCAGACAAGAATAAATAACAAAGATACCAAGTTAGCACTTGAAATTGCCCTCCCCAGACCCCTTTTGGGGGAAGGAATATCTCTCTGGGGAGAAGAGGTTGGAGATGAGGGATAGGATGTGTTCTCTGGGGACAAAGCCCAGGGAATTTCCCTCCTGTTCCTCCACCCCAATGATATATTACAACACAGCTCAAAGCGTCATGTCACAACACGGCTACGACACGCGACTTTGCAGCTACCAGACCATCACGCGTTGAGTGGCTTTCCCCCACTGCCCAGGGTTTCTCAAGAAGGGCAGGGGGGGAAGTAGGCGACACAGCTTTAAGGGTAAGGGAAACTCACAAAAATATAGTGGAAGGTTTCTCTCTTGAGTTGTGTATATCTATATACAAGGGGAAGCGGGAGGGGGAACCTCACATTCTTGGGTTGGAACATGCCCCCCCCCCCCCGAGTCCATGGGTGCTCAGTTTGATTATTCACCCACCGACCAAGATGGCAGAAGCATCCCTTGGCTACAGTGGCAGTACTATGGCTGTTATTTTAGAAGGCTGGATCCACGAGCGGGTCAATGGCTGGATTCAGCTGGCCGAGCGGGGAAGGGTACTCAGTCAATGAAGTCATCAAAAGCTATCTTGTTCTCCTCCACAGACCTAGAGCGCTTTCATTGTTGGCCAACTGGGCCACCACCTATAGGGCATTGCTCAGCGGGAGGACAGAATAGGATCAAGCTCAGGGTGGAAAGAGAGGGCAGTTTGCCCTGTCCAGTGGACTGCCATCATCTTGGCCCTAAGGTAATGCTAGAACACACTGTAGTTGTGTGGGGATCGACCTTCTAAGAAGTTTCTAGGACATTGTTGTGAGTGAAAAAGTGGTGTGAGGGCAGGGCAGGGAACGTGTGTGTGCTAGATTTAAGGCTTACTGTTGCCAGGAAGTGGGGACGAGGGGAGGACATTACTGATTGCTAAGGTGATGGTGGAAAGGGAGGAGCCTGTAGCCAAGGAGATGGTAGTTAAGTGTGGGCTACTGCCAAGAGGGAAACGGGTGGTTGCTAGGAGGGTGGATGGTGATTTTGGCTTATTCACAAACAGCGACACAGACACCTTTGTGGCCACAAACACAGACATGGCCCCGGGAGGGGTCCCCTCCCTCGTGCTATGTACAGAGACCCCCTCCTCCCTTCCCCTTTGCCCAGCCCTGGGGGAACCCCCCCCCCCAGCATCAGGGCAGGGAGAAGTGAGCCGGGCACAAATTTTGCATATTCGTGTAGAAGAGACGTGGACTTGAGGAATCAGCAGCCTCAGATTCTAGGGCGGGGGGACTTGAGTGAACGGGGAGAAGCCCTCTGTTGGTTTGGGGGGGTTGGGGGAGGGTTTATTGAGGAGTGCCAGAGCTCTCTTGGTAAGGGAACAAGGCATAGGGAGGGTTGATTCCAAGAACCCAAGAGAACCATAGGGAGCTGGGAGAAAGGGTTTGGGGGGGGGGAACGACAGAAGGGGGGCTTCTGTGGGAAGAGGTTCAAAAAAGAGTGGAATTCCTCTGCAGGAATATCTCCCACCCCACCAAAGAAAAGGGGATTGTCGAATGTATTTGGGGCACGGCTGAGGAGAACTTTATAGAACGTATTTGGGGCAGGGCTGAGGAGAACCATTTGGATGTTCAGGCACCAGCCCTAACTATATGCTTGGAGACAAATTTCTTCACATTCAGAGGTAAGCAGCATTGTGTTTCTAGGTACCAGAAGGACACAGTATCACCTGTCCTTTTTCTATACCCCTGGTGCCCCCCCCCCACATGAGCGGGCACTTTCAAAATGGATGCTTAAGGGTCTAGCGGGCTACCTCACCCCAGCCACAGGACATGTTGAGGAGCTCCCCTCTTTTGGGGGAGGGTAAGGTTGCCTCCAGTGGCTTGGTGGTAAAACCGGGGATGAGCCAAGGTTGTGTGGAAGGGGGAAGGAGAGAGTGTCGGGTTGAGGAGAGGGTGTCAGGGATCCCAGCGTGGAGGGCGGGGGGAGTCGCTCAGTCGGAGAAGAGGCTGGCGAAGCTCTGTCGGAGGCTGCGGATGCTCTCGGCACGCACTTCGTCCTGACTAAGGCTGCCCCGTGGCACCGGCGCCTCTGCAAGGGGGAAGGTATTGGTCAGAGACTGGGATTTGCTAAGGGACAAAAAGGGAGGGATGGGGGGGCGGGAAAGAGGGGAGGGGAGGGGGAGGCGGAGAGGAGAGATGAGAAAGATACTATTAATATCAGGCCAGGCAAGAGAACCTGCTGCTTCACTTATGCTTGGAGGGGGAGACAGGGAGGGTTGGGTGTGGGAAGCAGCCCCTGCCTTCCTGGGAGAGTGGGAGGGAGCAAGCACGGAGCAGCAAAAGGAGGGGCCAGACGAGCAAGGGTTGGGAAATGCAGGCCTCCCCACCCTTCACCTCCTCCCCAAAAGCTGCAATGGACAATCTGTCCAGCAGAGAGAAGCAAAGAGCTGGGGAATGCCCTGTAGTAGAAACAGAACCCTCCGCTAGAATGGAAAGTATCTGGAGGGGGAACATTTGCAGAGGGATTCTTCCTATTCAGCTCTAGTTAATTCTCTGTTCCCCATTTATACCTTCAACACTCCAGCTGTGGCTGGATGTTGTTTCATTCCCCCCCCCCCCCGGATAGGGCTGTGCCAAAAGTTCACAGGCGAATATCTCCAATTCCAAAGGGGGATTTGGAGAAAGCAACCCCCCACACAAGATCGCTAAATGCTCACTTGAGTTGTGCTCGTTCCCTGCAGTTCACTCCTGGTACTGTTTCAGCAGCATTTTATAAAGAACACTTCTTCTCTAGTGATTCCGGCCTATCGGGAATCAACTAAGCGGTGTGGTGAGGTCAAAGAGTGCCTCACAGCCTATCAGAGCTGGCTAAGTGAGAATGTCATGGGGCTTGTTCTGACTGAGGGCAATGCTTTCTCTCCTCACTCTGAATGGGCTTTCCTCCTTTTTGTAGGGTAAAATGATACACAAAATGTGCCCTACTCCTGTTTCAGCTTAGCCCAAATTTTAATACTGTTGTTTTGAAGTTTGCCTACAAGACTTAAATAAAAGGGGGTTTTGTTTCATTTTTCTTTAAAGGATCCCTCAAATTCCATTTTCAAGAGCAAAACCTGAAAATCGAAATTTCAGCTTTGATTTCTGAAATGGCACAGTTTGAGTATGTGTTCAGATTTGTTTGCTTGCCCACATTCATCCCTGTTAAACTTAAAAAAAACCCAACCCTTCTTATTCTCCTAGGCTAGCCCTTGGGGTTTTTTAATAACTTCTCCGTTGACAGACTGATTGACTGCACAAAAGCACGTACAATTTAGCAATTCAGCTTAAGCCCCACATTGCTAGCTTTGATGGTTGCAAATAAACATTTAGAAACATGCAGGCTGGTTGTGATGAAGGTTTTAGAAAGCCAAAGGAGAGTGGCATAAGGCTGTCGGGTTTTTTTGGGGGGGGGGCCCTACCTCCCACCCTGTCCTCTCTTCCTTCCTGCCACCCAGCTCTGCTACCCCAGTCCTGGCCCACTAATTCCAAATTCAGAGAAAACTGGGCAGAAGCAGAAATGAAGCAACACAATCCCATGCAAACACCCCTATTTTGCAGAACCTGTGACAGGATCTAAACCAAGAACTGGGATTGGGGGAGGGTTGGGAAGTGCAGGCCTCCAGAGCGTGGACTGCTCTCCAAGCGAACTGAGAAGACCACCACCCCAGCCTATGAAACCCCCTCCTCAACTGGAAACAGGGCTAGCAGTTGTGGTCCCTGAGTCTCAGAACCAGCGTCACCCCCCACGCTTTCCGCGAGGAACCCAGGAGTCCAGCGCTTACTTCAGCTGGGGCTGCGGCGGAGGCAGGTCCTGGCTTGGTTTCTGGGCCACTTGCGGTTTTCCTTGGCTTGGTGGAGGGCGGGAGACTTGCTGCCCGGGGCCCCCGGGCCCCTGCCCCTGAGTGCTGGGCCTCGGCTGCTGGGTGGTGGGCGGAGCGGGGCGCTGTTGCTGTGCTCCTGGAGGGCGCTGCTGAGGTGGGGCCCCCTGGCTGCCCTGGCGTGGGTGCTGTCGTGGCTGACCTGCTGCCGGAGGACGCTGTTGCTGCGGCAGTGGCGGCTGCGGCGCCGGCGGACCCCCGGAAGCTGCTTTGGGCGGGCCTGCTCCCGCGGCCCGCTGCTGCTGAGGAGACCCGGGCTGCCACTGCTGCTGTCCCCCCCCACTGGGGCTGGGACCCCTCTGGGGCTGTGGGGACTGCGGTGCAGACGGCGGCCCCTGCTGGCGAGGCTGCTGCGCTCCAGGCCCAGGTTGCCGCTGCCCTACGGGACGCTGCTGCGCCTGAGGAGGGGGCTGCTGGGTGGTGGGGCTTGGCAGACGCTGAGCCATCGGAGGACCACCTGGCTGCGGGGAGAGGCCGGGCAGCTGCTGGCCTTGAGGAGGGGGGCGCTGTTGAGAAGGGGGGCGCTGGGAGCCCGGGGGCGGCTGCTGAGGACCTCCTGAGAACCAGAAAGAGAGAGAGACGTTTGAGAGGACTCCAAAGACCTCTGCTCAGTCGACCGCGATGACGTTCTAACCTGCTCCCCGTGGCAGAAAGCCTCTCCCCCTGTTTCAGAGACTTCTTGCTCACTCCTGCAAGCTTCCCCTCCTGTTTTCTCGTCCCCTGTGATCTGACTCAGCTTACCCTGGGGTGGGGGTCTCTGTTGGGCCGGGGGGCCTTGTCGCGGTCCAGCTGGAGCTGCCTGGGTCTGGAAGCAGAACAAGATGGGGTGATACGGAAGCCTCATCCCTGTGCACCCTCCCTCCCCCGAAATCAACCTTTCCCACACCCTCTAGTGCCCCCTGCAGGCCCACCAGCCCATTCCTCAGAAGCCAGTCTTTCAACCCCATCCATGCAAAGGTTATGCTCCTTATTCTAGCACAACCTCCGTAGGACTTTCAAAAAAAGAGATTTGACCCATTCGTGGAAGACGGATCGATCAACCACCATGGTAGCTAAGTGAAACCGTAAGCAGTGTACCTCTGGAGGCCCTGGCTAGTGGGCTTCCTGGAAGTATCTAGCTAGTCACCATTGGCAGCCAAAAAGGAGAGTTCTTTGGTCTGATCATCCAGCAACACAGTTCTTTCGTGACTCTCGACTCCGAACTGGATCTTCAGGCTTCCAGATAATAAGCTCCTCCACTTCTGTTTGCCCCACCAACCTTTAACTGATGCTGCCAGGGACCGAAGCTGGAACTCATATGTGCAAAGCATGAGCTGCTTCCATAAATGTAGCCCCTTCCTGAGATTAGGGCCCTAATGTAACATCCATCATGACTGTCTATTCCCTCTACCACCACCAACAGCATCTCCATACTGTTCCCTCTTAATTTCTGGTAAGCAACGAATAATTGTAAACCATATATATGAAAAACAGAGCCCCAGCCACAGGAGGCAGAGTGCTGTAATACCTGGGCATGCTGTCCCGAGGCAGAGCGCACAGGTGAGGGCACCGGTGTGCGAGGGATGGCCTGGGCCATGCGGGTCAGCACCAGCTCCATGATTAGGTGCTTGTCTTCATCCTGGTGGTCTCCAATCAGTGGCATGGAGGACCCCACCACCTGAGGATCGTGACAAGGAACATGGAAAGTCAGCTTTCCCCCCACCCCCAATTCATAAGAACATAAGAGGAGCCAATGCTGGATCGGGCCAATGGCCCATCTAGTCCAACACTCTGGGTCACACAGGGGCCAAAAACACCAGGTGCCATCAGGAGGTCCAGCAGTGGGGCCAGGACATTAGAAGCCCTCCCACTGTTGCCCCCCACCTAAGCACCAAGAATACAGAGCATCACTCGCCCCAGCCCGAGAGTTCCTATCTATACCTTGTGGCTAATAGCCACTGATGGACCTCTGCTCCTTATGTTTATCTAATTCCCTCTTGAAGCCGTCCATGCTTGTAGCCGCCACCACCACCTCCTGTGGCAGTGAATTCCATGTGTTAATCACTCTTTGGGTGACGCTTTCTTTTATCCATTCTAACCTGACTGCTCAGCAATTTCATGGAGTGCCCACCAGTTCTTGTATTGTGAGAAAGGGAGAAGAGTACATCTTTCTCTACCTGCTCTATCCCATGCATAATCTTACAAACCTCGATCATGTCACCCCTCAGCCGTCGTTTCTCCAAGCTAAAGAGCCCCAAGCGCTTTAACCTTTCTTCATAGGGAAAGTGTTCCAACCCTTTTATCATTCTAGTTGCCCTTTTCTGCACTTTCCCCAATGCTATAATATCGTTTTTGAGGTGTGGTGACCAGAACTGTACACAGTACTCCAAATGAGGTCGCACCATCGATTTATACAGGATGAGTGTTTGAAAGTTTGAAAATGGAACTGGAATCTTTTTTAAAAAAGAAACCTACAAAATAAACCCTAAACTAAACCCAGAGAGATTGATAGGGGATTTCCAAGATGTGAAAGCCAACTCCAGGGGTGAAAGTTATTAGGAAATAGGGAAGGAAGCACTCACAACTCCACAGCAGAGCGCAGCACTGTGGTTAAGTGTCTAAGCTGTGAACCAGGAAGGCCCCAGTTCAAAGGTCCCTCTGCTATGGGTTCACTTGGTGATATCAGCCCCTCAACCCCCACCATAAAAGGATAACCTACATTACAGGATTGTTGTCATAAGGACTGCGGAGATAGCATATGTGATTTGCAATGTTAACTACTAGTGTCAACAAAACCGCATGGTGACTCAGATAAGGCTGTCTGACCGATAAAGCCAGAAAGTATTTGAATGTAAGCCAGTTTGCCCTGTTGACTTCAGTGCTTCCCCAAGTCATGTTACAGTTAGAAGGACGGGTGCGTGCATTGCGTAATACAGATGAAAATACAGTACTTGAAGAATGAAACATGCATGTTTTTCCCCCCAAACAGAGAGCAAATGTAAAGGGCAAAACTCTAGCAACGATTTGGAAAGCTACCCTTCCTAACACATCTCAGACACTTTCTCCATGCGAGGTCACCTTCTCAGGACAGCCTGGAGGGCTCAGACAGATGACAGGAAGATCACATTTCTGGCTCCTTCCATAAAATGCATACTACGGGCCTCTGCACTTCAAAACCAGCTCCCCTACACTGCCTTTAGCATTCTGAAGGAGGAAAAAAGGGAACCTGCTTTCAAATGGCAAAAGATGTTAAGGAGTTAAATCCCCCTTCCCTTCTCTGCAGGGTCCCAAGGCAAATTGGGGCTATAGGAGACTGCAGCTGGCATGTAATGAAGGGACCCAGGCATGCAATCTTCATCTCACATATCTAAGCCCTAAATTACAGTCACAATGTGGATCAAAGCATCCCCATGACCATTTCAGCATGCCAACATTTTAATAGTTTGTTTTACCATATATATATATTTAAATCACTTACAGGGTCCAGTGGGTTCAATCAGTAAATTAATCTGCTGCAAATTTAACCGCTACATCAGTGAGGCCCATTTTTAATAGGCGAGTGCATTTTTTATTGATGGGGCTGAAAATTAAGGGCATCCCTGTTCATTTATTTTGGTTCTGATGTATGGCAGTAATGGGGAATAAAAAGAAAACAACAATTTGTTTAGGAAATTGTAGATTACCGATATCTCAAAAACTGTGCATATTAGTTTTGTTAAATCCTTTGGTGTCCTCTCTGTCCCTTTATTTATTTATTACATTTATTAAATTTAAGCAACCCAGGGCAGTGTACCTAGAATCATAGAGTTGGAAGGTACCTAAGGGACCTCCAGGGTCATCTAGTCCAACCCCCTGCAAAATGCGGAAAACTCAAAAATCCCCCCCCCCCAGTGACTGTTGTTCCACACTCAGACGATGACAAAAAAACCTCCAGGATCTCCAGCCAAGCTGGCCTGGAGAAAAATTGCTTCCTGACCGAAAGTGGCGATCAGCATTTCCCTGGGCATGTAAGAAAGGACCACACGAACTAAGCACTGAGGCAACCCTTCCTGCCTAGAAGAACCCCATTTTTTAATCCTCACCTTGTGAGGTATGTTTGGTTAAGACACCGTAAAAGACCCAATGCCCCCCCAGTGAGCTTCAACTAATCCTCCACTTCTCCTGTTCACATCTTTGTCCACTACTTTGCCCTCACTCTTTAAAAAGGCCCCTTGTAATGGACTTGGAAACGGGTCTTATAAACTTTGCCGCTGACCTCACTTCCTCCCGGAGGACCGCCCACATTTTGGATGCCTCACCTCAATAATGTGGTCACGTCCGTCCTTGCCATGCAGAGCCTCCACAGCGCAGATGTCCAAGCCCCCAAAGATTTCTGAACAAGTGTCCACCCATAGCTTGTACCTGCCAGAAGGGGAGTGGGGAAGGAAAGTCAGATGGACACATTTATAGGGAGACGCCTCCGAGTCCCACCTCCATTCATCCAGACACCTTAGCCAGGGGAAAGGAAGTCTTTTCCATGCCTGCCATTTTATTTATTTATTTTATTTTATTTATTTTATTAGACCTCTGGCCCGCCCTTCCTTGCACCACAAGGCTCAGGGAGGGTAACAACAGGTTAAAAACAGTATCATAATTAATTACGAAAACAATTTAACATTATAGCAATCAAAAATAAAATCAGGTGGTAACATAGGCACTAATATAATTTATCCAGGCGAGGTTGGGAAAGCTGTGTGTTTGTCAAAAGCTGGAACACAGCGCAATGAATCTTAGGGAGAGGAGGGAGCTGGCGTATGCCTGGTGGAACATTTATTTATTTATTTATTTATTCATTCATTCATTCAATTTATATACCGCTCTAACCTAACAGGTCTCTGAGCGGTTTACAGTTTCCAGATTCCCCTAACTAGGGCCACATTGTGTAGGGTAGTGTCTGCCTACCAGCACCCAGGGCTTGTTGTTTATCTGGCGTCTTTTTTCCAGCGGGCTTTTTCCAGCGGGCTTCGGGTGTCGACGTCCTTCTGGTGTCCCCTCCTTGGAGCAGGTCTTTTCCGGGCAGCTTCCTGTTTTACAGGCTCTGCAGAACTGCCATACAGATGCCAGCCACCCACCACCTCCCCAGTTGTTTATACAAACAGAGCTATGCCACTCACCTGTCTGACATGGCAATTTGCTCCAACATGGCAGAGCCCGTGTTGGTTTTCCACTTTCCCGATACAGAGGTCCTCCTGTCAAGGGAAAGA